TGGCGGAGCTCTCTGCTATACGTCCACCCGATCCGCCATCTTGTTTGTTCTCCATGAACTTTTTGAAGTCCTCTTGTATACTTAATTTTTTAAGCAAATGATGATGTTCACACAAGTGACTAATCATTTAGAATTACAAAACCAATTAAATTTGTTCATTACCTCACTTTTTTACATAGACCCATTCAGATTTTTTTGTCTTATGAATGAGTATTCCTTCCACAGTAAAAGCTTCCTAGAAGGAAGTCATCTATAAAGATAACAGATTATCTGTAATTTGAAAGTGCTCATTTAGTTTCAAATATAGGAATTCCTGTGTCATAAACTTTGCTAAAGTTCATTTCAATTCAGTTTGTGTTTTCTTCTTGAAAATTGCATTTTTCAGTGAAAGATTTTCTTGATATGGTGATAAAGAGAAGTGGTGTATCAAAATATTTTTAGCTAAGCCATATTATCATTAAAAATTTTCTTTACCCTTAGGAAAATGGATGTCTGGTGGAAGACAGTATGTTTTTGCAAGCTGAATTGAGAAGTGAAGCATTAAATGGGAACTTAAACTTTGTTTTATCATTTTGTAAGTATAACATTAGAAATAAACTTGATCAATATTGATTCTGAGTACTATGAGTGCATATAAAATAGTTCAGATAATGAAAGCAAGGAAATTTTTATATGTTCTGTTAAGGTCTGAATGATAAGACAGTTTATGAATTGAACTCATGGATAACTTGGAAGTCATTTTAAAGTGGAAGAACGTTAGAGATGATCTAAGAACTTTCAGCTATAGCATGGTATTTGGGGTAGAGGGTGGACAGAGGACCCAGTTGACCAGGTCATATTTATGATTCAGTTAAAACAATTATGTAGCCTGGAATAAGTCTTCTCTTTGTGGTTCAATTTAATGAGATAGCAGTGGTACTACCTATATACCTACCTTACCTGTGGAGATTGAAAATTAGATATTTGTAAAATTGCTTTCCAAACTAATAACTAGTAAGTTGTATGAAGTCATCTCCCAGTCCTTGTTTGTTTTTTTTGTTTGTTTTTCTTCAACAAAACAGATGTTTAGTAAGCACTTTTAAATATTGGGGTACTTTGTAATGCTCATCACATGTTAATAAATTACTCCACTGATACATGAACCTATACAGGGTTACTATGAGTTGGCACTGACTTGACGGCACTTAACAGCATTCATGAAGAAAGGCTTGGATAGCTAGGTTGTTAAGAGGCTTCCTTCATATTTTAACTTGTACGTCATGTTACTTGTCAGTTTTTCAGATCTTGTGAAAAATTTCACAAAAACATACCAATTTGTAGCCTTGGGTGCAGTGGGTTAATGTGCTGGACTGCAGAGTTGGTTTGAACTGCAAGATTGACGGTTCAAGATCATCAGCTGCACCTTGGAAACCTTATATAGGGTTACTGTAAGTTGGAACCAACTTGAACTCACTTAACAACAACAACAAAATGTTAAAGTTGGCAGTTCAAACCCACCAGCTGTTCCTTGGAAACCCTATGTAAAGTTGCTATGAGTTGGAACCAACTCATTGGCGCTTACTAGCAACCAACAATAAAATGTTAAAAGGAGCCATGATAGCATAGTGGATTGATTATGAGATGGACTGCTAACCGTAAGGTCAGCAGTTCAAATCTGCTAGGCACTCTGTAGAAGAAAGATGAAGCTTTCTGCTCCCATAAAGAGTTATAGCCTTGGAAATCCTATACAGGGTTGCTATGAGTCAGAACTGATTCCAAGGCACATAACCACCACCAAAATGATAAGGGCTGTAGGATAAGCACTGACTGGACTTCTAACCACAGAGTTGCTGTTCAAACCTGTCAGTCACTCCTTGGAACCAGCTCAGTGTCTCTTACAACAACAAAATGTTAAAAATTAAGCTTTCATTAATCTATATGAAATTATGTAGTAGAAACTTTGTGAAAATCAGATTATTGCAATACATTACTCATTTATGCCACAAAAATCGTTCATCGTAATGCTTTAAAGGGAAGGCAAGTATCCAGTATAAAAAATGGTGACTACTAGACTCAGGTTAATAATTGAGTTGAAGGTTGGGCATTAATGCTGGCTGCTATCAGAGTATATTGATTTTGCTTTCCACTCTGTATAATACGAAGATTTTCCATACTGAGAAGTTGAAAACAGCAGCATTAGCAGAGGAATCTGGGCACATAAGGTGCATATGTGAGAGCTGCCTTTTCCTTTTATCGTACAATCCATTCCACTCATTGTCAGCCTTTTGATTTTTCAGATTTGTTTGTTGCTAAGGAAACTAGATGCTTTTTTGTCAGGAGCCTTCCAGCTTGCTGAGATGTTTCTGGTCACCTTTTTTAATGAATAAGAAAATTGACAATACTCCTGTAATAACTGTTTTAAATAGTACAAAAATAAATTTTTAAGAGGGTGTTTATTATGTTTGGGGAAAAAAACCCCACCTGGAATATTGAAGAATGTTTAAGGGAGTCCTCCCTTCCGTCTTTGATTTCCAGGTCTTTGAAGAGCTATAATTTCTTGTATTTGCATTAGATAGCTCCTAGGTAATCAGTATTGGTTACTACATCTCAAGGAATATTGGTTTGTTGGGAAGAGTAAATGGCTTATCTTAAGTCTGTAGAATATTAGAAAACATTTTCTTACCTGTGTTTGTGGAAATGGAAAATTACTAGAAATTTGATGAAGTAACATTGAAGTTTGCTTAAGAGGCATGCGTTTATATCTACTTCTTGAGTACCTAAGCACAGATCAGTTTTATGATCTTTAGATTTTCATATGTTATAAAACCACAGAGTAACTTAGCCTTTCTGTTTAATGAATGTTGTTTTTGTTGTTAAGTGCTATTGAGTGGGTTCTGACTCATAGTGACTCTACATAGGGTTTCCTAGGAGAGTTTCAAACTGACCTTGTGGCCCAGTGCTTAATCCTACAGCACCACACCAGGACTCTGTTTTAGGAATAGAATGTTGTTGTTAAGTGCTGTTGAGTCCGTTCCAGCTCATAGCAGCCCTGTATCAGGTTTCCAAGGAACAATTGGTGGGTTTGAACTGCTGGCCTTGTGATTCGCATTCTAGTACTGATCCTACAGCGCCACACCAGGAATCCAAGGAATAGAATAGCTGATCTAAAACAATTGAAACTCTGTGTATGGTTTTTTTATATATAACCAGGGGAATTGAACAGTAATCTTAAAATGACTTCAGCTTCTCATGAGTCTGTATTTTTAATAAATCAGGTATTTTTACTTAAACTGTATTTATTAAATCTGTTTTCAGAATTTTCCTGTACTGTGAATTCCTCTCTACTTCCATCTGTCTGGGATCATTCAGTAGCCAGTTAATATTTATCCTTAGTAGATTAATACAATTACCTGTAATATGTTGTTTTTTTTATTGTTAAGTGCCTTTGAGTCAGTTCCAATTCATAGCGACTGTATACAGGGTTTCCGAGGAACAGCTGGTAGGTTTGGACTGCCGACCTTGTGGATCAAACCAGCCTTGGAGTCCTTTGCATTTTCCTGCAGTGCCACACCAGAACTTGTAATATGCCATTTTAATACAGTGGCAGGGTTTTCCTACTGTAATTCCATCCCTTGTGAACATGACAAGGATTATGTGAAGAAAAAGCATAAGACCTGATTTTTACATGAGGCTGTAATGGCAGCATTGAAATACACAGGTTGTAGACTCTTAAGTGCTAAAATGTGTAGTAAAGCAAACAAATACCCTGAAAAGTGAAAGATCATTTTGCTAATTCAGTTACACAATGGTGGTAGATTTCCAAGAGGACTTTAAAAAGTTCTTGAAAAACTGGAATTAAAAGATAGTGGCATTTTTCCATGAACATTTTCAGATCCCCTCATGTTTCATGATGACTAAAGATGTCACTCTTGTATGAGTGCATAGCATTTACCATGGAAGAAAATAGATGATTTCACAGAACCCAGTAGACTGCTCACCTGTCTCCTTTAAAGGACATAAGTCTCTCCCTTCACGGTATATGCAGTATCCAGTGAACTTACAGCTTCAGTGTGTATACCAAACTGACCTTTGACTATGCTAGTGTACTGCCGTGGAGTCAGTTCCAACTCATAGCATAGTGACCCTGTACAGGGTTTCTGAGGCTGTCAATCTTTACGGGAGCAGAAAGCCTCATCTTTCTCCCTTGGAACAGCTGGTATGTTTGAACTGCTGACCTTGCAGCTCGCAGCCCGATTTGTAACCACTAAGCTTGCCATTTTTATGAAAGAATGTAAATTCGTTAATTGTACATAGTCACGAAAAAAGTAAAAATGCCTTAATAGGATAGTTTTTGTTATAAATGTATATTACTGCATTTATTTAATTAATTTTATATGGAAGCATTTTTATTTGTTAAATAGGGCTTCAAAAATGAACATGAGCAGCAATTATTATGTGTTTTCAAGTAAGTTGATAATTTACAGTTTTTTGTCTGAAACTTAATGATGATTTTATTTTGCAGTGGAATCAAATTCATTGCCATTCTCATTTAATTCTTTGAGAGGCAGTCTCATTTTAGGCTTTAGAAGGTAAGACGATCACCCTATGTAATGTTCTTTGCCTGTTTTTCATTATTTATGTTCACCTGTCTTTTTGATGTACTTAGGAGAGAAAATGCAAGTGTTTTTATCTCCCAAAACTCTAACTACCAGAAATAACCAGATCTACTTTGTTCTTCCTCATGGTTGACTTGAGTTTAGGCAGCTTACCTTAAATATTTGTGGTCCACTTTTTTTTTATATCTTTCCTAAGAAATGCACACAAATTTGATAAAGGTCTTGTTTCAGGAAAGCAATGTTTATGGCAAATTGGAGTTACAGACAAACTTGAGTGTTTGATTTATCATGTGAACATTTATTACAAGGTGATTTTATTCACTCTAGGTCTTTCCTCCTCACTACTTTCTACACAGACTGTGTGATCACCTCCCCTGCCCAGTGTTGTTCATTTAAAAATGTTCAAGCATAAAGCAAAGTTGAGAAAATAAACAGTATAGGAAACACCCATATATCCTTTATTTAGGTTCACCAGTTTTTAATATTTTGCCATATTTATTTGCTCTTTTTCAGGTGCATTCTTTCTCTTAAAAATAAAACATGTACACATACACATGTATGCATTTTTTGGGCACATAAGTAATAGCTATCAGGATCCTGGATTCCTTATAACATAGATCTCTGAAGAATCAGATCTTCAGCTACATAATCATAATACGATCATCACTCATAAAAAGTTAACAGTACTATATAATGTCATCTGATATACACAGCCTATTTTCTACTGGATCACATGCTTTTTAATTTAAAATAAATGCTTGATGAGGCTATTAATCTTCAGCTGTCATGTGTGTTATGCAGTGATTTTGTAATCCTGGTCCTTGAGCAAATGAAAAAGAGAAGAGATAGAATGAGATCTAGTAGAATCTTAAAGACAGAGGAGCCAGATTGTGAGAATCTTATATATATATATTTGGTTAATTGAATTATATATAGTAGAATCCAACTGATCTGCCCTTTGGAACTATGGAACTGTATTTTTATTTGAACAGCAATATGAGAATATTGGAAAATTGTTTACAGTTTAGCCTCTTTTTGAATCCCACCAAGTTAGTTGCTCCGCTTTTCTCCTTATTTAAATACTCTAGCGATTTTCCTGTTAGTTAGCTTCTAAAATGCCTAATTGATTGCTGGGTTTTAAAATAGCTATATATCACTACATTTAAAAATGTGTTTAATGAAGAACTTACTACCTAGTGTTTGGATCATTGCAAATCATTCTTTATTCTTAAGGAAAATTTTTACTTCCAGAAAAGTTGTAAAATATGTAGGCTCCAAAAACTATATTTTGTTGATCACGTTTTCTTATTGTAGATACAGAAAAATTTTAGGATGTGGTAATTTGTCATTATCCATAAATTATATGCATAATTTGAAGCATTTGTGACTAGAGGTGATTTTCTTCACTCCCACCCCAAAAACTACTCAAAATTCACAACATTCTATGTAATTGCAATCCATTATCTTAGTGTTAATGTAACAAAACTATTCTTTCATTCAGTAGTACATTTGTCAGTACATTCAGTACAGTTATTAAAACAGTTTCCTATCTGCTGTTTCCCGGGGTCCTATTGTGCTCTTGCAGCTTTAGAATTGACTGAGTGACAAAGAGAAAACTACTGAATCAGAGGTCAACCTTACCATAGCCAATAGAGTCTAAATTAACCACCTGTAGCTCCTGTAAGGATTAGTATATTAAGAGACTGTATGAATTGAAATGTATTCCAAAAAAATATGAGTCAGCTTAGCTACACTCTGGTTTTTGGTATTTTGAGTATCCTTCATTTTATGATCTAATGTGATTATCATATGTTTTATAAATCCTTACTTCTATGATGTGATTGAGGCAAGGTTAGTGGCAGTTGTGTTAACAAGGCAAGACACAGTCTACAGGATTAGGTTGTATCTTGACTTATCTCGAGAGCTAAAAGATATTAGACAAGCAAGCAGAGATGAGAGGACCTCTTACCATTAAGAAAGGAGAGCTGGGAGAGGAGTGTGTCTTTTCCGCCTTGCGCTCCCTTTGCTGTGAACCTCCTGTTGTTGCTGTTGTTAAGTGCCATTGAGTTGGTTGTGACCTTGTGAAGGATTTCCAAGGGGTGGCTAGTGGGTTTTGAACCCTGACCCATAGCGACCTTGTATAGAACCACCAGCTTTGTAGTTCAAATCAACTTTGCAGTCTAGTGCATTAACCCACAGTGCCACACCAGGAGTCTAATAGATTGCTAATAATTCTTTGATAAAAATTATTCAATCATTGTAGAATATTGTAATCAGATGTAATAGTCACTTCAGCTAAAATTTGGGTAAATTTAGCTATGTATTTCAATATTGGAAAGCAATTTTTAGAACATTATGTACTGTTGAACTATTCGTATGTTAGGCCCAACAGTGTGGCACTGGGATTAAGCACTGTGACGAAAGGCCACTTTGAACCACAGGGGCGATGGTTCGAACTCACCAGCTGCTCCTTGGAAATCTTACACAGGGTTGCTGTGAGTTGGAACTGACTCAGGTGCACTTAACAACAACAACAACAATAACAATCTTTAAAAAGCAGTGACCTTCAGTAAGTTTGTTTTGGAAACATTAATTTTTTATGATATCCACAGTTTTTTTTTTCTTTAAAGTTCTTTTTTTAAACCTTACTTTTTTTTTTTTTTAATGTTTTATTGTGAATTATGTGATAGTTTACATGGGAGAACATTGGTTTTAAGTTCATTCTGTCGTATACCGTATCATTGCCATGGTTACAATCCCCTGCATGCAATCCTTCCCCCGTACCCCCCAGGTCTTCAGCACACAGTTGCTCTCCCTCTCTGGATCTAAAGTCTCCAGCTGCTCCGTCACTCCACATCATCATCTCTGGCTCCATTTCAGGCATCACTGCTTCTCTGGGTAGGGTCCCGCTCTCTGCTCTTCTCCCTTGATGGTCCTAGGGACCTCCGCTCCTAGACTGAAAAGTTAGTCACTCCCCTCCTTGCTATAAAATGTCTACCTTTACATTTTCATCCCTCGCAATCAGTCCTGATAACAATTATTCACTATTGTATCACAAGAGTTGGTCACATCTTTTGAGGGTAGTATCTAAGTGGCTACCTAGTATTTTTGTAAGTTGATAATTCTCAAGAAATGGTAACACCAATAAATGTTTCCAATTTTTAAATTAATTTAAATACTGTTAACAGATACAGGCACAGTTGCCTTTAGAAAATATTTAAATTCTACTGCTTAATTAGGGGATGCTAGTCAAGATTAATAAGATTGTTTGTTTTTGAACTGTCTAAGAGTAGTTGGGAGTCCTGGTGTGGCGTTGTGGGTTAATAACCTCATAGTCGGAGGTTCAAACTCACCAGCTGCTCCTTGGAAAACCCTATACAGAGTCGTTATGGGTCGGAACCGACTCAAAGGCACTTAACAACAACAAGAAGAAGATTATTTTAGAGTCATTTTGATATGCCTGGTAAAATAAAGTTAGTAAAAATTTCAGTCAAATCCAAGATAAGAAGATGCTTAATATAAGTAATACCTTTTTCTCTGCTCAACATTAGTGTAGGCACAGTTTAAATGAGAAAACAGGGCAGTATATTTGTGAACGCTGCACCTACACAAACGTAACTTCTAAGAGTTAAAATGGCATTGAAGCTGGTTTAAAACTTGACTAGGAATATAATATAAAAAAAAATGTTTCTGTCAGAATTAGTGTTGTTGTTGTTGTTAAGTGCCATCGAGTTGGTTCTGACCCCATAGCGACCCTGTATAGGGTTTCTAAGGATCGGCTGGTGAGCTTAAACCACCAACCTTGCAGTTCAAACAACTTTGCAGTCTGACTCATTAGCCCACAGTGCCATACCAGAATTTGTGTGGAGGTTTTTTTAAATACTTGTAGTACATAGAAAAGAAGATTTATAGAATAAAGATTTATGACCCAATGTCATCATTCTGAAGTTGGCAAGTAAAAATCTGTTCCACTGGAGCTACCTTCCATATGTTGTAAAAAAATCAAGTTCCTGATGCTGAAAATCTTAGAACTAGACAAAATCCATCAAGTTAAATGGTACATTGCAAAGTTGTGTCATTTGCAGATTGCAGATTTTTTTCTACAATTCTGTTGCCAGGTTCTTCTTCATATAATCCACCTTCTTGGATTGTTTGCTCCGCATACAGATTAAATAAGTATGATGAAAGAATATGTTGTTATTTATTTGAGTTTGCATGTAGCATTTGCAAATACATACATGAAATGTCTGCCACCATAGATACATATGGGAGCGCAGTGACTCCATATAAGCACTGATCTGCAAACCACAAGATCTGCAGTTTGAGCCCTCCAGCTGCTCTGTGGGAGAAAGATGAGGCTTTCTGCTCCTGCAAAGACTGAAAGCTTTGGAAACCTTATAAAGGGTCACTCTGAGTTGGAACTGACTCCACTGCACTTAACAATAAACAGCATTGACATGTATATGGCTGTACTTCCATAGAATCTCCCTTAACTAGGTATCAAATTATTGTTTTTTTCTCTCTCCCATTCCTGGTAGCCATCAAAGAATGCTTCTTTCTGTGTGTAAAGTTATGCTTGATTTTTATAATAATTGTTGTTAAGTGCCATTGAGTCGGTTCAGACCCATAGCTACCCTGTATAGGGTTTCTGAGGAACACAGTTGGTGAGCTTAAATCGCTGACCTTGCAGTTCAAACCTGCAGTTAACCTACAGCGCTATACTGGGACTCCTTTATAATACTGGTCTCCTGAAATATTTGTCATTTTTGTTTATCACTTATTTCACTCAGCATGTCTTCCAGATTCATGCATGTTGTGAGATGTTTCATAGATTCATTATTATTTATTATCATTGTACAATATTCCATTATATATATGTACCAAAATTTATCCATTCATCTGTTGATGAACATTTTGGTTTTTTCCATTTTATTGTGAATAGTGTGATCGACATGGGTGTGCAAATATCTATT